CCCCAGGGCTAATGCAATTGACCATGGATGCACTTTGTTTATATCAGTAGCATCTCCACTCCTTACACGTGCCTCCAGTAAACCATTCCATTGGGTGCTCCTTCTTTGAATCTTCATGTCAAAGCAGGCTTCTGGGCCAGCAGGGTTTTTTGATTCATGGAGTAATGGTAAGTCAAAAAGTGCCACTTAAGGGACTAAACTCGATGGCTGTTATGTAAAGTCTAACATACTTCCATAAGTATCATCTGTGTTTCTCTGGTAAAAGAATTTTCTTGGTTGTACTGGTTCTGATGACTAAACAACAATAAAAATGTCTTGGAAAAGACAAAGGAGCCAAACACTGTTAAATTCACCTTCTTAAATGAGGAAGAGTTTTAATTTTTCTCCCAAGAACCGTCTCAGATTTAGGCTCTTTTTTTAGGAGCGTCTCAGCATAAATGTTAACAGTATTTTTCCTATTCAGTTCAGCTCAGTCGCTCAGTTTTGTCCGACTCTTGGCAATCCCATGAACCACAGCACACCAGGCCTCCCTGTCCATCACCAACTCCCAGAGTCCCAAACCCAAACCCATGTCCATCAAGTTGATGATGCCGTCCAACCATCTCATCCTCTCTTGTCCCCTTCTCTTCCTGCCCTCAGTCTTTCCCAGCATCAGGGTCTTTTCCAATGAGTCAGCTCTTTGCATCAGGTGGCCAGAGTGTTGGAGTTTCAGCTTCAACATCAGTCCTTCCAATGACCACCCAGGACTGATCTCCTTTAGGATGGACTTGTTGGATCTCCTTGAAGTCCAAGGGTCTCTCAAGAGTCTTCTCCAACACCACAGTTTAAAAGCATCAGTTCTTCGGCACTCATTCTTCTGTCCCTGATGGGCACAGCTTTCTTCATAGTCCAATTCTCACATCCATACATGGCCAGTGGAAATACCATAGCTTTGATTAGACGGACCTTTGTTGGCAAAGTAATGTCTCTGCTTTTTAATATGCTGTCTAGGTTGGTCATAACTTTCCTTCCAAGGAGTAAGCGTCTTTTAATTTCATGGCTGCAATCACCATCTGCAGTGATTTTGGAGCCCAGAATAATAAAGTCAGCCACTGTTTCCACTGTTTCCCCATCTATCTGCCATGAAGTGATAGCACCAGATGCCGTGATCTTAGTTTTCTGAATGTTGAGCTTTAAACCAATGTTTTCACTCTCCTCTTTCACTTTCATCAAGAGGGTCTTTAGTTCTTTTTCACTTTTCCTATTGTTAGTGGAACTCTAATTCTGTAAGTGTCTGCCTGTTTGTCTCTTGAAGTGATTTCATTAGATGGTTTGTAATTAATTGTCTGACATCATTAATCTTATATTCAGAGTCTGGATTTGTGTTCTCTGGAAGCCAAGTGTTAAAATTCCTTTGGTTGAACCGTTGACCATCTAATCATTGTTAACACAGGAAGCATTAAAATCATGATAAAAATGAGCAGTTAGGGACTGGTGATCTCTCAAATGAACCTGCCTGTTACATTGATTCAATGCACAGGAAAAAAGGATCCAAAGGATTCAGGAAACTTTGGAATACACAGCTCTGTGTATGCTAGTGCAGCTGTTATTGACAGGGAGGTGTGGGAAAACCCTGAAACCCTTTCAGGCTTCCATGAGGACAAAGTTATTGTCATCATAATATTAAGACACTTCTTGCCTTTTTTTGCTGTGTCAATATTAGCATTGATGGTGCAAAAGCAAAGGCAGGGAAAACTGCTTGTCCTTAGCATGGATGAAGGCGGTGACTTCAAACTCTACTAGTAAATGGCTATCTCTTTCTTCATCTCCATGCCACTAGTGTTCAAAGAAGCTGTGTTTCACGTAAGCATGTCTTCCTGTAGCAGTAAAAATTATTTTATTAAAACCTTGACCCCGAGGGCATCTCTCTTATGTAATGCATAATGACATGTGAGGTACACATCAAGTATCTTTCATGCCCAAGTACATCCATGGTCTGGTTATCTCAGGGAAGAGATGTGGGACCTAGCAGGACTGCCCTGAGGATAGCAAGAGTTCCAAAGAAGTCTTGAGCTTGAATGATTGTTGTCAGTGGTGTTGGTAGCTGTGTTGGTGGGATGTCTGAAACTGTTTTGTGTGGTATGTGCATAGAGCAAGTGGGTAGGTCTATGAGAAGTACCGGGAATTGGGGTTTTCATTGTGGGGAGGGAGATACTACTGGACTGAGGAAAATGAGCAAGAATCCTGTCATGCCGGGTATGAATTCAAGCTGTCACACTGAACTTAGAGGGAAGGTATTTGTGACACCTCTGCTCTGTCCTGCCTTCCCTGATGGCTCAGTTGGTAAATAATCTGCCTACAGCACAGGAGACCCGGCTTCGATCTCTGGGTGGGGAAGATTCCCCTGGAGAAGGAAATGGCAGTCCACACCGGTATGCCTGGGAAGTCCCACGGATAGAGGAGCCTGGTGGGCTTAGAGCCTATGGAGTCAAAAAGAGTCAGACACCACTAAGTGACTCCACCACCACCTTGGTCTGTCCAGTCAAAGCAAAGACACTCTGCTGGCAAAGAGGACACCTAGGTCTCAAAGCTCGATTTCTAAATGCCCGGGCGCCTTGGAGAAATGACTGATTTAAGGTCTGAGGCAAGTACAAGGCTAGCTTGGCATGCTTTTTGTGTCAGAAAGCAAGGAGGTGCTCAGAGACTATTAGGGTTGTGTCAAAGTGACACAGAGTTTGACTTGAAGGAGCTTCTGATGGCTGAATTTGGGACAGTTTGGGCATGAGAAAGAATGATGAAACAGTACTGAGTAATAATAACACACTGACTTTAGAAAAGTCCACGAAACTTCCCGGGAGGGAGGGAGAGAGGGACAGACCGGAAGAGAGAGAATAATACATTGCAGGAGAATGCCACCTAATATATGAAAGGGGAATGGTATTAATATTTGAAAATCATTTTGTAACCCCTGAAGTGGGTAATTGATTCAGGTGAAAGTTAACTGATACTGAAACTGCTCTCAGGGAGAATGGATAGTCACAGAATGTCAAATGTCACCCTAGTTATTACTTATTAAGTACCAAGGGCTATAAAGACACTTTTGCTAAGAAGAAATCTGGCAGACCCCACTTTAACTTGATGCTCAAACAGCATCAGCACTAAAGACAGAACCAGGTGTCATGGGCTACCTGCAGAACACAGCTCTGCCCACGGGGTAGTCTGGCCCGGAGGAAGCAGTCTTGAGTCTGACTGAGCCTCTGTATCCAACCACCAAATTGCAGGGAATCCAAAGGGACCAGAGTCTGTTAAATACCATCCTGGGGCTGCAAAAACCAGAAAACCAAACACCTCTAGACTCAGGCAAACTCTATAGTCAGATGAACCAGTTTCTTGAAAGATCAGTTGTGAGAAAAAAACACGAAGGAGACACGAGGAAGGACTTGAGCCGTATTGACCAGTGTATGGACAGACCTTATTTGGATCCTGATACAAATACATTTGGGAGTTGAAAAAAAATGAGATAATAATGATTCTGAACACAGACTGTATATTTGCTGGTAACACAGGGTGAAATTACAGTATATTTACAGTTTTAAAATAATTTGGAAGGAGGGCAGTTGGGTCTGGATACAGATGGAACAAGACTAGCTGTAGATCAGTCATTGCTAGGGTGTTCACATGTATGTTCATGACACTATTCAGTATACTTAGGAATATATTTGACATAATTAAAGATACTGCTAATTAATAGGGAATAGCTTGACATTTTGCATCTCTTAATACAAGGCATTGAGAAACATATGTCCTCTGTATAGAATTGGTGCCAGTAATATTTAACTTGAATCTATCAGAAAACAATCAGATAAGCTCAGAATGTGTGATATTCTACAAGGAAATTTTCTTGGGTTGTCTAAAAAACGTCAGTGTTACGAAAAACAGCAAAAAATAGTGTCATAAGAGTACCATCAAATGCAGTGAGTGATCCTTGCTTGAGTGGATCCCTTTTGCCCTTAAAAAGTTATGAAAGACATAACTGAAAATAAGAAAAGGTATTATTGAATAAGTATTATTTTGGGTATGATTATGTTCATGTGATTCTGTAGGAGAATGTCCTTATTCTTGGGAGATGTGTACTGAAATATTCTAGGGTGAATTGTATGGTGTCTGCAAATTACTTGAAACATATGTGGGTTAGGTTGCCTCATATTAAATCACTGTTTTCCTAGGTTGGAAACATTAAAATATCAGCAGATGCCTAAGGTTCAAGCTAATGTTTGTTGAGAGAGAGAGAAAAAAAAAGCAAGTGGGGGTTGCAGGTGAAGCATATACAAAAGTATATACAAAAGCATATACTATTCTTTGACCTTTCTGTGGGTTTGAACTTTTTCAACATAGTTGGGAACAAACAAGTAGTCAACGTATAAAAAAGAACCCTCAGCAAATACATGTTTGTTAGATTAAGTGTGCTGGCAACATTCTCTCTGGGAATAATTGCCTGTGATAGTGTTTAATATAACTAGTTCTAAACTACTTAAATTGATTCAGGATGTAGAAAAATCTTTATTTCATTGTATGAACTTTCATATGACAAAGAAAAGAAAAAATAAAGAACTGTAGGTGGAAACTAAGAAGAGAGGAGCTTAGTGATAAGGAATATTACTTTTTTACATAGATGACATTTAAAGACAGATCCACTGTAGGGGAGAATGTTCTTATTTTTTGTCTAGAGATCAGAAATGTCTTTTATCTAAATATGTATGGCCTTGACATCGCTTGTAAGATAGGATATATCTCCAGAATTTGAAGAGAAGAACTCTTCTTTTCTACCCCTTCCCTGGTGGCCATGAGGGGTCAGTTGAGGCACATTATGCTCAGTTATTGGGGTCTTAGGAGTAGCTGTGGCAGATTGACTTCACCCCATGATGAAGTCATGGGATGGTGATTCCTGCTCCTGTAGAAAATTTCCCTAAGTGATTATAACAGTCCCTGATTTTGTTCTCCTTTTTTCCAATTCAAAACAGATCCCTAAGGAAGTGGCTGATATCTTTAACGCCCCCAGTGATGATGAAGAGTTCGTTGGTTTCCGAGATGATGTTCCCATGGAAACCCTCTCATCCGAGGAGAGCTGTGATAGTTTTGACTCGCTGGAGTCGGGGAAGCAGGTATGGGTGCCTCCTTCCAAGACATGTATTTGTCTGGAAGCCTGGATCTTGGTTTGGATATTTTTTTTATATGAATGTGGTCTGAAATTGGTGGTTCAGTCAATTGTTGAGCATCTTATTTTATCATTAGTGCCTTCATGTTTCAAGAATCTGGTGAGGGTACCTTGCTCAGTTTTGCTGTTTCAGTCCTTATTGTGTACAAGATTTTTTTTCCCCAGTGAACAGGACCTCACACGATCAGATCTGCTTTCTTTGCCCCCTTGGGGCTGCCGCCTGTGGTGAGACTGTATTGGGAGTGCTCCCACCCAGCTGGAGGGGGCAGGTGGGTCCCATAGGAGTGTGTGGTGACCGTCCGCCTCTGTGCCCCTGCGATGTGGCTCCATCTGCACCTCACTCATGGAATTGCTGGCAAAAGCGTGATTCTTCCCTTAATTCCTTTGATCTGTGGTTGACATAGGTTACAGTTCTCAGAGAGGTAGATTCCTTAAGGTTCATGTTGTGATTTAGTAAGAGTGTGGCCGGAGTATGCAGCCTTCTGCGGCATTGTCTTCTGAGTTCATAACGGCACTCAGAATTCCTCATTCTCCCTCGACCACGGCCTCTCCTCCCAGGCAGTGAGTTAAATCCACCCAGCTTCTACTGGGCAGTGGTGGAGGGAGGCAGTTAATGACGTAAGTGAAGCCCCTGTGTCCTGACAGTTTGTGGGGTCCTCACCTTACTCGATGCCCTGCAGCATGTGACGCCCCTCAGCCGCCTGCTTCCACTGCCCTTGGGCTGGCTCTCTCTCCTCCACGCTCCACGGTTTCGTCTTCAGACCTTCCACTTTGGCCTGGTCTCAGCCGTTGCCTCCCGTTGTTCATGGTGTCGCTTTTCTCTCCAGCACCAGGTGTACTTCTGACAGCACTTGGATCCATCTTCATTGTCTAAGGGAAATAGGAAACTTACCGTTTCCCCCAGCCCTGGTTGTCTGTCTTTGGCGCTTTTATCTTTTATCTCTGTCTTCGGAGCTCCTGACCCCTCCCACTGCTCGCCCATCTCCTCGACTCCCTCGCAGGAGTTGAATCTTCTTCCGCGTTCCTCACCTCCATCCCTTCCCTCCTCTCCTCTCTTCAGCCATCGCGGTCCTCACAGCCCTTTAGCTGAGCTCTGGTCACCACCAGTCTCACAGGTGATGAAGCGGAAGCGTGGGGAGGTGAGCGATGGACAAGGCCCCACATCTGGGAAGTGACTGGGCCGGGATGTCTGCTGTCTCAGAGCCCCACTTCTCAGCCCCGAGGCCTCCCCGTCTCTCACCCGCAGGCTCAGCCGCAGTAGGCGCCCCTCCGCGCGCACCGTCCTACCCCCTGACTCCCCAGGCTCCTCATCCTGCCTCTGCGCTCGCAGTGCTTTTCTGGCCTCGACCCCAGTTCAGATCCAGGTCAGACGCGTCTCAGGGGATTTTCCTACTTTCTCTGCACCATGGTGCTGTGTCTCCCTTACAATGCTGATCCTCGCCATGGGGACCTGGGGACTTGTCCACCTCCCTTACCAAGTGGTAAGCTCCGTGATGGAAGAGGCTCACGCTTGAACCGACTTTCCAGCTTCCCTAGATCAGATCCTTTTCCTCTGGTTTCCTGCATGCAGCACCCACGGGCGAAGGATCCTGGTCTCCATGCTCCATGTCTGACCGGCTCAGCTGCCATCACTTTCCAGTCTGTTTCTTCATGTTCCGTGAGCTTCAGGAGAGGAAAACATCACCATTCTGTTAGCTCCTCTTCTGATCTGTCATTTGCTTACGTTCTGATCATGATACATATAGGTCACCCAGGCCCATAACATACTGCCTGGTACTGATTTTTAAAGATAACAGCCAGTTTTCGGAGAGCAGAGAGCTGTGTCAAGGTTGTAGCCAGCAACGCAGGAGGCTGTGAGGAGTAGATGTTTGCTTCGTACAGACCCTCGCTGAAGACAGGTTTCACACCCTGTGAAAGCAGGAGCCTTGGTTTAGGGCTGCGGCCGAGCTGGTTTTCTCCATCAGAACTGGCCACCAAAGTCCTGACCTCGCCCTGGCTGACGGCCGCCTGTGAGACTAGCTCCAGCACAGAAGGAGCCAGAGGGCTGTGGGCGGGAGCTGCTGTCCCCAGGCGTGACCCGCTTGGGCCCGGCGGGGACGTGGGTAGGCGGTGAGTGTGCACAGGCCCCCGCAGCCCACAGGACTGCGCAGCAGCCCGGGGCTCCTGGGCCAGGTGTTTCCTGCCCTCGGGGGTGGTGGGTTTCCTTGGGAGCCCACCACAAGCACCGTCCTTCCTTCATGATAAGCCCGGGCCTGTGCTGCCCTGCCCCCACCGCACGGGCTCCCGGTCCCATCCGTTCTAACCCCCAGAGAAGCCCCGTGAGCTTGCGCACAGTCCGTGCAGCGAGTCCCGACGCTGCTCTCCCGAAACACAATTTGAATTTCACTTTAAAGAAACTTCTCTTTTGTGGTGATTTTTTTTTTTTTTAAGCAGCTGCACCACAGCTATCAACAAAGGAACAAAATAGCTCAGCGCACTCACTCCAATTACCCATAATAATTCATAGGAGACATTTTTAAGCTTAAAAAAAAAATGCTGGATATAGGCATTTCTTTCTGTGTCCTCCTGGAAGTTTTTTCCCCTCATCTATTATATCTATTTTTCTCCAGAGATTATCTGAGCTCGAATAAGTATGTAATTAAAGTCAGGGAGAAGGCGCGGGGAGAGAGGCTCTCCCGCCGGGAGTGGTGTGACGAGGGGTCACTGCTATATTGGGTGTGGGAGGGAGCGACGCTAGTGGCAGCTGGGGACACAGGCTCCAGGCTTGGCTGCCAGCTTGGAGGAGGCTGGTGTATGGGTCCCCGTTCTGTCCCGAAATTCATTCTTTTCCCCTCCTTTCTTTCAAGTTTGCCACTTATTTCTGTGAGTTCAAAAGATAGAAAAAGTTCAGTGTCCTCTCTCAGCCAGCCGTGTGCCATCTTTCCTGGGGCTGACTTGCTGCCTGTGGGCGGTGGCGTCTCAGCTCCCACGAGAGACGGGGCTTTCCGGGGGTGGGAGGGTTGGGGCTCTTCTGTCGGTCCCCTGTGGTAGAGGGTAATGGAGCCACTCTGCCCCCTCAGCGGTGGGCGGGGAGGGGTGTGGAGGCCCGTCCCTGCAGGGAAGCCTGCTCTGGGGGAAGGGGCGTCTCCCCTGGGAGGGGCCCGAAGGGTGCTGTTAGACAGGAAAGCCAGCGTGTGGGGAAGCTAGGTTTTCTCCTGTCATCTTCTCTAGCATTTTTCCCCTTCTCTGTCAAAGTGGACGTTTCTGATGGCCTGTGCTGGAGGGAGAAACTGAATTCCATCCACCCTTACTGGTCAGCCAGCTGACAGAGGCTGTGGCCATTCTGATTTTCGGAAATTGTTCAATTTGTAGGTCTAAATTTCTGCAAATTCTAGAAAATACGTATATATGTGTGTGTGTGTCTGTGTGTTTATTGTGTTAAAAATATGTGTAAGATTTACCATTTAACCATTTTTAAGTGCAGGTGAGTCTCCAGTGTCCTGCCCGCAAGACACTTGAGCAGCACTGAGTACCTTCACAGGGTCTCGTGGCTTCCCCCATGATCTGTTTCCAGAATGTTTTCATCACCTCATCATCTCAGACAGAAACTCTGTACCCATGAATCGTTCACTCGCACTGCCCCCGGCCTCTGTTTTTCCTTTTTTCCATGACACGTATGTGTGTTTTTAATTTAGCAGGATGTGCTTTTCCATTCCAAATACTTCACAGAAGAGCTCAGAAGAATTTTTATAGAGGACACTGACTCAGAGATGGAAGATTTTGAAGGATTTACGCAGACTGATCTCAATGTTAATAGTAACCCAGAGGTAATGGGAATAATTACCCACGTGAGGGAGTGTGGGTTGTAGTATTTTTAGTCCTGTTTCTGAATTGTACTTCTACTTCTAAGAAGTCTCTTCACACATGAAAAGGTTTTACTTTTTCTTACATGTTCATCTTCTAAGCCAGTTAGCGAAATGTAAAAACTGGCTATTCCAGGGTGAATTCCTGGTCCAGTGATCCATTATGCTCTTAGGGAAAATCTAGTTCTCTTTCCGAGGTACTTTTGGAGTTTGGGGGTGCATGTCCCAGGCGTCCCTTATTGTCCTTATCGGAGAATTTAGTTCAGATGTTTTGCACCTCTTCTCTCTGAAAAGAGGAGGGTCTGTCTGAGTATAACAAGTTCCTGAAAGTCATTTCTTGTCGTGCGGTAAGCAATGTTCTTGGGTTTGGAGTTACTTTGGCAGAAATTTAGCTGTGGTACAAACATGAGTGTTCTCTCTGTGCATTCTTGATTTGGATCACTGTGGTTTTTACTGATACAGATGCCCTGGGCCTGCCTGATTCTGAAGGGAACCCCTCAGCACATTGCCATCAAGAGACTTGTTGACTGATCTCTTCCTCTTATTCCCTATGTTCAGGCCAGTTTGTTGCCAACCAGATTTGAATGTCAGGGTAATTTTGAAGAACGGCCTTTGGATTTTAAGGCATGAGAGTGCTTTCTCCTACCTGAAAAGTAGCATACATTTAGCTCAGAAAGTCAACACACCACTTCCTTCGGTGGTATCAAGGTCAAGGATAGCGAGGTTAAGGCTCGTCATGTTAAAGAGTTCCCAGGGAACCACTCCCACATGGAACCTGTGCAGATGGTCAGATACGCTGTACTCAGTAGGTTGGTTTTGTCCTTCATCTTGGCCCGGGGGCCTTTACGGCCTGAAAGCCCTAATGGTAGGCTGCCTTGCTTGATGATGGCTTTTTCCCGTGAATAGCAGCACGGAGTGTGCCCGCCTGTAGGCCCCAGCCCCTGCCCCTGCTTTCTTTACAGAAGTTACGTGTGTTCTGGCCAGCAAGTCTGCAGTTCCTTGCCAGCAAGACACTGAGGTCCTTCCAGATCTTAATCATCTACTCTTAGTGACGTGTTTATCTTCTGGTCTTTAGCGAAGTAATGTCAGGGTGTTCAAAGAAGTTGTTTCCAGCATGGGAAAGCGAAAGTCAATTTTTTTCTCTCTCCCCTCTCCAGAACCTATACAGTTAGGGGATGAATTGTGAGAGTTTGTGTTGACTCTGATATAACTCATAGCTCAGGGCAGGTCCACCTGCCTATTTTAAAATTCAGTGAGAAAACAGGCATTGTTGCCTCCCTGCCCAGCCTCCTTCCCACCCTGGCGTGGAGTGGTGAGACCACCTTTTTGATGACAGGGTATGACTCTGCGTTGGTGTCTGGGGGCCCGCTGGCCACATGCGACCCCTCCACAGCTGTGGCGTCAGCCCTCAGGCCTGAGTCTCGGCTGGTGTTCACTGTGCTCTTTCCCCGCCTCGGTTCTTTGTAGTAACGGGCTCCACGTCCTTGGCAGAGAGGTGGAGGTGGGTTAGGTGACGATTACGATAAATGGATAAAGCCAGTTGGGGAGACACTTCTCTGAAGTTGTCTAACAGTGTCTTCACCCAGCTCACCATTCTCAATTCCATAGCTGCTAAGTGGAAACTGCAGGATATGAAACAGATCGTAATCTTACGTCTGCTTGGTGTGTTGTGCATTGATACACACACCAAGGTTTGGATGTCATCTTTTTTTTTCCCCTCCTGTGACCTTGTATTTTAACTTGAGTCCAGCTGGAATGTGGAGTGGGGTTGGGCACTGAGGAGGAAGCAAGTCATGAACTGAATCCCGGGCCTCCTCCTGGTGGTGTTCTCAAGTTCTCTTCACAACAGGAACCCCTGACAGGGCTTCCCCAAGCTACAGTGTCCAGCCTGTGGTCAAGGAAAGATGCTCAGGCCATGACCTGGGTCTTAATATCAAAACCCATCTCTGCAGTTGTTGAGTCTTTTGCGTCTGAGATGTCACCTTGCCTTCCATTCTTACTGTGTTTTCCCGAGTAAAACCAAGTTATGTTTTAATACGGGAGAGCTGCACCGAGCGGAGATGAAATTGGGACTGCAGATTCCTGAAGCTGACTGGGCAGATGCCTGCAGCTGCCTGCCCTGCAGGGCGGTCTGCCCGATTGCACCCCTTGGCTCTGTGGGTTACAGAAAGGGGGAGGGGCTGCCCTAGAAAGAGGACCCAGTGTGTCCTGGGGACGCGGTTCCCCCGCTGCCCCCGATGGTGGATTATCTGCCTGCTCCTTGGTCACTTCACGAAAATGAAGTCAGCTCTCCTCTGTTTCTTTTTTTCGTGAATCTTCTTGCAGCTACTTAGGGCAGAATGATATTTTGTTTTTCACTTAGCACTCTTACTCTGTCTGAACACACCGCTTCGGTCATGCACACCCTGTTCTTTGACTGTTCCCACATTGCTGGGCTCCCAGATTGCCCACTCAGTGGGTCAGCACTTTGCTTCCAGCCTGATGCTCTGAACGGCACACAGCCAGCGTGCGTGTCTGGGCCACAGTGTGAAGTAGCCTGCTATTTGATTTTGTCCATCAACAAACTACTTACGCATTTAACTGAAGAGTTCAGAGGGAATGACCAATAGGAAGGGGAAGCACTCAAGTGTCCAGTGTTTTCCTAAAATAGAGTGGTTTTAAGTGTGTGTCTTTGTGAAGACTTGTCATAGACACTTTGTTCTTTCTCATTTTCATTAGCTTGTGGAGTCAGATTTGAGTGATGACAGTAAAGCATCTTTCGTGAGTGGGGAAGATGATGATGATGAAGAAAAGGCGACACCTCGAAGAAGCAGGCCTAGAAGAAGCAGTATTGGTCTTCGAGTAGCCTTTCAGTTCCCCACCAAGAAACTGGCAAAAAAAGCTGATAAGAATGGTTCTTCAGAGCCCCTGTTTTCTGGGTCACGTTTACAGGACAATAAAAAAGCGATTCTTGGAAGGAAGACCAGCTGCAGGCAGGAGAAGGAAAGGGAAGACTCTGCCTCTGAGTCTGAGGACGACTCCCGGGATGAGGGCCAGGAGAGCTCGGATGCTCTGCTGAAGAGGACCATGAACATCAAGGAGAACAAAGCCATGGTGAGTCTGCGTCCTGGCTGCCGCTGCCGGGCTCCCGGGGCATCACCCCCCACAGCTGCCACCGCTTCTGGGTTTTGTGGGTTCTCCCTCTTTTCCTGGACTTGCAACAGTTTGCCTGATTAGCTCTGGTTTGGGAAGAGACTCCTAGGACCTTAGAGGGTGCCCTGGTCTCACACCAGTTACTATTGATCAAATTATGTTGCAAATGTGCAGTGGTTTAGACAAAAAAGGCCTGTTCCCAGCAAAAGGTAGCAACATGTAAATAGGGGTGTCCTGAAGCCCACAGAACAGTTACTTGTGCAGGTCAGGCAGGCAGCTTTCAGCCTAGCTGTTGCACTTTGGAGATATCAGGGGAGAAATGAAAGGGGTCTAGGTATTAAAACACCAGAGGAGTTCTGAATCACTTTGTAAATTCATGGAACAAAGTGAAATCTTCATGTGGTCAGTAACTAGTTTGCTTCATAACTTTATATATACAGAATTTTAAAAATAATTCTACAAAACACTTTTAGTATTTTGGTATACTTATTATTTTCTTTTAAAAAAGCATAATGATGCTGTATAAGCAGTTTTAGAATATGTCTAATAAGTTACTTAAAGAAATACAAAATTTAATATAAATTTTACTTTTGGGTAAAGTTTATCTAGAGACATTAGTAGTGTTTAGCTAAGGAAAAGTTTTAGGATTGTATCTCTGCATCTTTAAAATGAGAACTATGTTCTTCACGATTTTGTTAGTGACACCCATACATCTGTTTGATTGGCATTTAATGCCTGTTGTTTTGGTATTTTTAGGAGTATTTTTATAAATTACTTACATTGATGAGAAATTAACCAGCTTGAAGAATCAGTGTTTTAGAGGTCTCAGTAACTGTCAGAATCGTCTAGTTGGGCATTTTCTGTTTTGAACATGATGAAACTTCTTGGGTGGGCAAAGTGGTAGCTTCCAGGGTCACACTGGGAATTAGTGGCTCAGTCCTGATTCTAACCTAATGCTCCAGGCCTTGATCCTTCCAGGATAGTTTTCATCGTGTCTGGTCCTTATATATAAGGAACAGACATAGATTTTATTCCTCTGATAATTTCAGCATCTCACCCTGGAGATAAAAATCTTTACACAAGGTTAAAAATATAACAACTCTTCAGATCTTATGTAAACTACTCCGGTTTTTTATGGCTACAAGCTCCAAGACTTGTGATAACCTGTTAGATGAAGTAGACTTAGTAATATTTATGCAAGACTCTATTTTTTCTGAATTTAGCTTGCTCAGTTATTGGCGGAATTGAACTCGATGCCTGATTTCTTCCCAGTCCGAACCCCAAACTCAGCTTCTGTAAGTGGATCTCGATCTCCTTGTATGTACTGTCTCCAGTATTCACACACACACACACACACACACTCCATGGCCAGATGGCCTTCATTCTGGAAAGCAGCCACTTGCATGCTTGTGTCTGTGCTCTCCTTGCAGAAGAAGAAGACCGCGAGGCGGGCCTTCTCAGAGGGACAGGTCACGCGGCGGACCAACCCGGCCCGGAGTGCGCGGCCCCCCGAGAAGTTCGCCCTGGAAAACTTCACCGTGTCAGCTGCCAAGTTCGCAGAAGAGTTTTACGGTTTCAGAAGAAGGAAGACCGTGAGTGGGGTATGTTACGACTATAATGAACCAATGCTTCTTTGTCTAAGCCAGTGGTCCTCATGCAGGAGCGTTCATCACGGTCTTCTGGGGCTTGGTGAGGGCGCCGAGGGGCTGACTCGGTAGGTCTGTGGGAGCTGAGACGGCCGAGCTCCCAGCTGCCCCGGGTGCTCCTGTGAGCACACTTGGGTAAGGACCCCGGGTTTGAGCTTGCACTTGCTCTGAGCTCTAAGCCATTTAGGCTGTCCTGTGCCTAAACTGACCAGCTCAGTGGTTAGGACCCCAGGTTCACCTCCAGTGGAGGTGATAACGGCTCCGGGTGGCTTCAAGGTTTTGCTTTTGGGAACGTACAGGATGACTCCCAGTTTTTGTGTGTTAGGAATAGGGAGTTTTGAGAGCTTTCTGTCTGGAACAAGAAACTCTGGACCCTGTTTGTGGCTGTTCAGTGTGGGTCAGTCCTCAGATTTTATAGCTGCTGGCCATCCATTGGGCAGGGACCCTGAGTTTCTGATTGGTCATCCTGTGTCACCTTGCCATCCAGGAAGCTTGGCACTAAGGATAGGAGCTCAGCAAATGACTAAAAGCAAAAAAGAATTCAAGGAAGGAAAAAAAGGAACCAAGTAACGGCCCCGGGCCCAAAACCCCGAAGAAGTTAAAACCTAATGGGTTTTTTTTTTAACCACTGAAAGCATCTAATGTCCAGTTCTGCTTTGGCTCTTTCTGCAGGGGAAATGCCAGGGGCACCGCCGCCGCCGCCGTGTGTCTTCGTTTCGGCCAGTGGAGGACATCACTGAAGAGGACTTGGAGAACGTGGCCATCACTGTGCGGGATAAGATCTATGATAAAGTTCTGGTAAAGTAATCTAACAGCTGGTTCACATCAGTGTGGCTTTTACGGGGGCTCCCAGACACTGGTATCTGAACTGCCTGCTTGGAAACTGTCTGGGTTTAGGCCCTTGTGCCATCTGTCTCCCCAGGGCTCGGAGGTGGGCTCTGAACTGGAGCAGCTTTATCTGGGCAAGCAGAGATGGCTTANGGTAGCAAGTAGGGGTATAATCTGGAAAATCACATTTGTAATCGTTATATTTTAAGTAGATAGTTTTTATGTTTTAAACATTGAAAAAATAATGCTTTTATAACCAATAGAAATATATTTACACTGAATTAATATATTTACCATATATTAATATAGTGAAATATATGTATAACATATTTATGTTACCAACAGAAACTAAAGTTTGACAGAATATCTTCTGTAGGTAGGAAATGTTTTAAATGTTTGTTAAATGGTAATGTAGAGAATGGCTTGTGGTATTTTGCATTATTTTTAGATAATGGGACAGTGTCTTAAACAGCATTAAAAGGTTTTCAATGTAATTGCCAACATTTTAAAACCAGGAGGTCTTACCCTGAATGGAACCAGATTGCTGGGAGCTGGGCTGGAGCTGTGTGATGCTCCGGGGGTCTGCCATCATCACCCAGTCACCCCCATCATTTCTGCCCACCTGATCATTTCGTTTCTCCCAGGCTCCCTACTCGGGCTGTCTTCCGGATTCTCTGGCCCCAGGGCTGAGTGCTCACAGCCTACCGGAGGGCGCCAGGGTTTGGACCAGAGACACAGCCACGCTCGATTCTGGAGGAGAGGCCGGGCACGCCCCTCTGCACCCCGTGCTCACCACTCGCTGCCTTCGCCCGCAGGGTAACACTTGCCATCAGTGTCGGCAGAAGACCATCGACACCAAGACGGTGTGTCGGAACCAGAGCTGCGGGGGCGTGCGGGGGCAGTTCTGCGGGCCGTGCCTGCGGAATCGCTACGGGGAGGACGTGAGGTCGGCGCTGCTGGACCCGGTAGGGACCGTGTGCGCCTTCGTCCTGAGTCACGGCGTGAAGGGAACGAGCTGACGCCGGGGCTCTGGGGCCCTTTGTCAGGGACGTGTAGCCCCCTTGCCACTCTCTTCTCCTCCTGCCTCTTGAGACTGGCAGAAATGCAAAAGAGACTTTCCTTCTAGAAAGAACAGGCTGACCAACATACAGGACAGTAAAAGAGTGAGTTTCATCTTCCAGGGTCAGAGCCCAGCTTTCTTAGAGTCATGGTTTGTACAGGTGAACCTGTGCCCTTTGTCGGGCACTGTCACCTTGGATTTACCCAGGGCCAGGCCGGGGGCAGGTGTATTGCCCTGTAGGGTGCAGTGTGCCCTTGACTCTGGGCATCTGGCTGCAGGGTCTGTGCTCATAAGCACTGCACTGCTGGACCAGGGCAAGTAGACTGTCCCCAGTTTGCAGCTGAATGTGAACTGCTGCTCCGAATAGGTGAGCTGAGAAAGCCTGTACTCTGAAAAGCAGGGCTGACTTCCCAGGCATGTGATCAGAGTGGTCCACCTTTCTGCGCCTTTTTGAAACAGGCAAAAGGAAGGAGACAGTAGTGCATGTCACAGGGTGAAGGATTAGCTGACTGATCTCATGTGACTAAGGACTGGGGATGAGGCCGAGCGAGCCGGACTTGATCAGGGCGTCGTCTTGTCCTGTCACTAACGGGGCATCGCGGCCACTCTGCTCCCCCAGGACTGGATGTGCCCTCCCTGCCGGGGCATTTGCAACTGCAGTTACTGCCGGAAACGCGATGGCCGCTGTGCCACAGGCATCCTCATTCACCTGGCCAAGTTCTACGGTTACAACAACGTGAAGGAGTACCTGGAGAGGTAAGCCTCACAAATCAGAACGGAGGGTGTGATTCCTGGGAGCGGGAGAGGGGAAGACTGTCTAGGTGGGCCCTGGGATGCCTCATCTCAGCCTGACTCTTAGAAGCCACCTCGCGTGTCAGCTGTGCTGGGTCTGTGTGTGTCGGGAATAACAATGGAGTCTACAAGGCGGGGAGGGAAAACCGTGAAGGCCAAAGAGCTCTTCTAACCCTCTGGGACAGAGGAGAGGCTTGGGTGCTGTGTGCTGGGGCGAGGTGAGCCTCCCTGCAGTGAACGGAGTGAAGACCGACCTTGTGTCGGGAGAGCAGTTTGGGTGTGGTGCCCTGGGGGATGCTGCTGTCTCTCTGCCTCTGTGCCCCTAATGCTTCCTGTTTCTTCTCAGCTTACAAAAGCAGCTGGTGGAAGACAATTAGGAGACGAACCAGCCCGCTCACCATGGAGCACTCGAACAAGACATGCCATTTGTGCCTAAGATTTCTTACGGTTGTGTGTTTTTTTATACAGAAATTCTTTGTAGAGCTAAATGCTATATATTTTTTTTTTTAAAGATTGTTTTTATACGCTTCAAAAGATTTCTCAGGAAGATAGGAGAGGAATCTGTATATACGCAGGCCTGTTTGTATGTTGAGTTATTAAAAGCATCTGCAGATGATTAAAAACCAGAGTTTAAAGGAGTGAAGTTCCAGGTAAGTCCTGGAGGAAACATAGCATCGCAGCTCTTTATTTCCCAGACAGTAACTGGAGGCCAGGTCGTTACAGGGGTTCCACCCCCTTTAGTTTATCATGAGTGACCATAGTTCAAACCCCATAGCCTAAGCTGCTCTGGGTTGTTGGGACATTTATATTGAAGAATGCTCCTCTAAATTACAAAGTGCAATTAACCATGGACCTAGAATTTTATTTTTGTTAAAACTTGAACCAAAAGTAGACTGTCACATTATCGACACTGGAGGCCTTAGAGGGCGGCTGCCTGGGGCCCGTGGCTTCTATATTTTAAAAGAATATATAAAGGCAAATTTAATTTAGAGATTTTGTTTAATATCTATAGAAACTACACTCCCATGTAGGGACCAGGAGACTTCCAGCCATATTGCTTTTTGAGTTACAGTGGAATTTTGATGAAAACGTGAGCTGCACTGATTTTGTGTTGCAGGATGGAGCTGCGTGTCAGTGGCTTCCTTGCCAAGATGGGAGGGAGGTTCATTACTTGCTGACTGGGAGCCACACAGACACTGTAAGCATAGACTCATGTTCCCGTGCTAACCCCTGAACTTTCCTGTGAACAAAAAACTAAATCATTTGAATTCAAAAGGTTTGTAAAACTTACATGAAAACAGGTTCTGTGAGACTCCAGACCCAATAAAGCAAGTTAGTTAGTCCTTTCTTTTAAAAAAAATGGTGAATCTGCATGCTCGTGGACAGTGTAAGAAATCTGCAGTTCACCACGTTCCCTTCCCACTGCACCTTCTCTTAGTTCAAGTCACCTGTTTAAATGTCTGTAAAGTGACAAGGAGCATCTTGGCAGAGACTTGGAAATACTTTCTCCAAGAGCCTTCCAGGAGAAGAGGAAATGTTTTATAAGATGAATGCATGGGTGAGTGGAAAATGTTCCATCTTTACCTTCAGATTTGGCTCCCACTGGACACACATCTTACCATTTTAATTATCTGAAAGCCAGAAGTGAGGTAAATAGGCACTAGTGTGAGTGAGAAATGGAGTAGGGTGGTGTGTTAGTTGCTCAGTTGTGTCCGACTGCGACCCCCTGGGCTGTAGCCCGCCAGGCTTAATAAGCAAAGGACAAATACCAACTTGAACCCAAGTGCGAAAGGTTCTAAGTGTGATAACCCTGCATGTGCTCCTAGGGGCATCTTACCTTCCATGAGGAGCCCGTGGAGGTAAGCGCCTTCCCTGGGGGGATGCCCGTAGTCCTCCTTTGTTTTTTTGGTAATGTCAACAGTCAGGCACATTTTGTCCAGTGGCCACTCATTCTTTCGAGCCGTGGCCTGCATGATCGCTTTTGGAGGAGGAGGGACAGGTGTGAGCAGGAGGAAGCCACATACCTAAGATTCTCTGGAGCCACCAGTGAGCCGAGCACCCACCCAAAGCGAGCTCTGGTCCCATGGGGTGTTCGGGACATTACCTGCCTGGCTGCACTAAGAGCAGGGGTGGGAACGAAGGCCAGACCATCTCCCTGGTCTTGGGGATGGTGCTTTAGCAGAACAGCCATGCCCGAGTGCCGCTGGCTGGTTGCTTTGGCTTTTGCACCAACTCCCGTGGCCGAGCACAGCTGCGTGAGACTGTGGGCCCTGATGGAGGACGGGTACTGCGTGACCCACATCCACCCACCTGGCTGCTCCTGTCCTGCCTGGGCAGTGGTCACCAGAGCAGGGGAACAGCTCCAGGGACACGAGGCTGGGGTTCCGCTCGGGGCACGGCTACGTCAGCATCGGGGGCTGCCCCACATACCAGCTCTTACCCGTTAAGAAGGACTGAGGGTTGAAGAAGCCAGAAAGCCACACCACAGCCGGAAGGGTGAGATCTTGTGTCCAGGAGTCCAGTTCCCGGCATCGCAGGAGGAGGTCGTTAAACCTGGGGAGTAGAAGGTAGGAAGAAACAAACGTGCTTTCAGTACTAAAGCTTTCCAGTAAGATTAGATTCTGGGGATGAGGGGGTGCTAAAGGGGTGGTAGAGAGGTCCAGAATCTGGTAACCTGTGAAACTGTTACCTGATGACCAGGTAACAGAATCGTCTGTCCCCTTAAAGTGTTAGAAACACTGGCAAGTGTGGAAAAAACTATTTACTCAACCACTGTTTCACTTAGGTCCTTCAGGTGACCCCCCCCAGTGACATGTGGTGACGCTCCATGGTAGCCGTATATGATCTGGACTGGCGGGGTGCACAGGGCAGCATCCCTGTGTGTCTGAGGATGGGCAGGGGAAGGCTCTGCTGACGGTTGCACAACCAGAGTTCCCAGGAACGGCAGGGGCAGTAGAACATGTGATAGTGGCCTCCACACAAGCAGTAATTACCTGAAAGTAGGGAAGGAACAGTTATCAAGGGGACCGACCACCTTCCATCCATCGTGAGCCTGTAGTTTGAGAAACTGCTGTTTACACAACATGGCTTCTCATTCCATCAGCACAACAGTTACCCTAGGGAGGGAGCATCTAAAACCTCCCTGTGAGGAAACCAGCTCAGAGGCTAAGGAAAAGTGAACTTCCATAAAATCAGGAGAAGCCTTGATAGGTAGGTTTTAAAGGGCTGCTGAAAACGGGGGGAGATGGAGCACAGAGCAGAAAGCCCAGCCTAAATGCCTGCGGGACAGTTCTCCAGGGTGAGGTCTCTCCCAGCCAGCATGGCCATGTCCTGGGCCCTACGGCAGCAGGCTGAACGAGGACCTCATGCCCAATGAGGACCTCATGCCCACAGACCACCACCTGGAAGAAAGGGTAAATGCTCACACTTGAACTTGGCTCACAAAGACAATTCCTACCAGCTTGGCTCTGGGCTCTGCCCCATATTAAATTTTTCCAAATAGCTGGTTTAGGGAAAACATACTTGTAGATAGATGCCACAAAGAAGAAAGGCAAGGAACAGGAAAATCAAAGATAAGAGAAAAAAAAAAAAAGCTTGAGATGTGAAAGAGGATAAACACTGCAGCAACCAGTTTTTCTAATGAAGTGCATATGTAACAAGAATATGAGTTAAAACTGGTAAGGTAAGAAAAAGTGAGGCAATTAAGGTGGAAAAAAATCTCAAAAAGACAGTTATAGAAATGAAAGCAAAAAGTTAAACAGCATAAGGCAGAATAATAAGGAAAGCAAAATGAAATATAAATGAGTTAGAGTTGGAGTGAAAATAAGATGAATGCTGAAACATTTGCTAATACAATTCTAGAAAATTTGAGTTCTCTTAAGTTACAAATTTGAATCATCATAATCAGGGACATATGTTGTAAGAAAATGTGACACATAATACTAAGATACAGACTGTGGAGATAGAGAATCCCCTGGAAAGCCAGGAAAAAACATGAAGTCTTTTTACAAAGGGAAAAAAATTTATGTTAGCTTCAGGCAGCATTTGATCATAGAATAACGCCTATGAAGTCCTCTGACAACGAATGGGTTAAATTACTTTTATAATCAACCAAACTGTAACTTGAGTCTAAAGACAACTGATTATATGGCATGAAAAACCACCCACAAATCCAATCAACCAGAAGGAAGGGAACCCAAAAATCAGGAAGAAGAGGAATGTTAAAAATCAAGACTTTTAATATGTATGTTTAAACTTTAGAAAACTAGGTCAAGTGCTTTTCCCTCCCTTCAAAATATGCAACGTGAAACCAAAAATTGATTTTGGACAGTGATTTTTTTTTTTAATATTTTTTTAATACAGGGGAGAAACAGTAGACAAGAGAATAGGAGACAAAGATACAATGACGATCAGCCAGAAATGACAGCTGACCAGAACACAGACACACACAGACTGACAGAGGGCAGTCCAGGCAGGCGAAGATAAGGCACTATTTGAGGAAAGAAGGGCTAAGAAACAGAGACACATGACGTAGAGAAGAAACGTGGACGCCAAGGAGGGTGTGTGTGACGTGTACACTACTCTGTATGAAGCAGACGGCTGGTGAGAGCCTACTGTATGGCATGGAGGCAGATGCAATCTGTGGGACATGCATTAACCTTAAAAACGCGTTCCAATACGTACCTGGTGCAGACAAGTACTGTTTGATTCTGCATATTACCAGGTACCTAGTAACAGTCAAATCCACAGAGTCAGAAAGTACACTGGTAGGCGGGGGGGTGGGGATGGGGACATAGAGATTCAGTTTAGGAAGGCGATGAGTGATGGTGAGAGATGCACAGCAATGTGTATGTACTGTCACTGAAATGTACAGTTAAATATGGTTAATATAGTCTGTTTTGTATTACATGACTTGCCACAATAATTTCTTTTTTCAAAAAAGCAGGGCTAAGAATTTTAAAGGGTGGAAAGAATTGTGGACTCAGATTTATAACATCACACGGTATCAAGTAGGATGCCTTTTTAAGAGACCACACCTAAACACATCGGTAAAAATGACAGAACATTAATACATTAAGAGTTAAGAAAAAAAAACCTTAAAAAACTTCCCAAAGAGAGTGACTTAGATGTAGAGGAATGACAAGTATTTATGCACAGACTCACCAGCCATAGTCAGTGCCAGAAGACAACACAGTTACAGAACACTGACATTTGGAGGGAGAATAATCGTTATCTAGAATTCTACTTGCAGGTAAACTGTTCATCAAGAGTCAGGGTGGCAGAGAGAACTCAGACGCGTACCCTCTCCTCCCCGCCACACACCCCGAAGGCCTGCTGTGTGCCTCGTCCTTTGGCACAGTGAAGAGGGGACCCCTACCGCTGCTCTGCCGTGGTTTCAGTGATGAGTGGCATCTCTGCCGTCTGCAGCTGAAGGTTCCAGAGACAGTCTGACTGAAGTCAAGCTTATTCAGCAGCTCAGAGGACCTCAGCCCCGTTTCCCCTTCCCGCCTCCTGCAGTGCTGACCGCATGGCCCCAGTGTGGCCACTGCGTCCTGAGCTTACGCCAACTGGAAAGGGGCTCACTTTTACTTTAGGGTTAAAAATAAATGGGACCCCATGCGAAAGATGTAAAAGGTGAGGAAGGAAAACAAGCAGAACTACCTAGAGTTTTGCAAACACGATCTCTCAGGAATACCTCTTTGGGGACGAGAGTCCAGCAGGGCAGTTCTTACTGTGTCTGTAGTGACGGCAGGGTCTCCGGATACGCCCTTTGTGGGGATGGGAACAGATAGGTGGCTGGGCTTTCCAGTTAGTCATCTGACATTATTTTCGAATGTGTGTAGTAGCTGAATTATGACAACTCTTTACCGGTGATGTGGGTAAGATATAATGTTACAAAACAACTCTTTACCGGTGATGTGGGTAAGATACAATGTTACAAACTTCTAACATTTTTCTGAATGGTCTATATTCCATACCACTGCAGTTTTACAACCGCATTTTCTCAAACATATGTCAAACTTAGCCACAGGCCATTTTTTGCAGATGACTTTACCCTGTCAAAGTATCCTAAACAGATCCCCAAGGGACAGTCTGTCAGTAGCAAAAGTAAGTCT